TTCCCAGCAGGTGAGCTTCCACCTCTCGTCCATCTCTTCATTCGCTCACGCCTTTCAGTTGCAGTACCCTTGCCCAATTTGGGCGTGTCTCCTTCATTTCATGCGCCTACTCATTTGCTATCGTTCCCCACATTTTGTGTTCTCTGCGCTCTTTTGGAATCGAATTACTAATTTTTGTAGCAAGCAACTAGCAGGCCCCGCCCAGCATGGGTGTCTCCCCTTAATTTCTTGCGCTTACCCATTTCCTATGGTTCCCCACGTTTTCCGCTCTCCCGGCTCTTTTGGAGGGGAATTACGAAATGTGAAACTTTCGTAGCAAGCCCCCCCCCCCACCCCTCCCAGTATGGATGTGTACTCCTCATTTCGTCCGCCAACTGACTGCCTATCGTTTCCCACTTTTTCCGCTCTCCGGACTCTTCTGGAACCGAATTATGAATTTTTGAAATAAGTAGTTCCAACTGTGCGCATGCCCCGCTCACAGTGGGTGGGGCTCAGCTCAATTTCTGTGTGTTCCGTACTTCTTGGTCCGTATTTACAGTACAGTTGCGTAGGAGAAACGAACCTTGGCTGGATACTACATGCATGTGCCCCTACTTAATGCAGAAAAATATTTCCAAAAAGCGCTCCGTCTTGAAAGCCGCTGACTAGGGCATTCGAAAGATAGGGGCAGTAAAGGGTACGAGTGACAGATCTCTTACACGATACTGTCTTGGAAGCCAGGAATCCAACAAAGTCCTGTCCCAAGTTGGAAACCCGAACGTGTCGCTCCCTGTTGGCATTGGAGCGGTCATGACGTGAACGCATCAACCCCGCCGCCCTAGCAGGCATCGCGTGCGACGTCGCGCCCGCAAATAACGATGTTCCAGGTAGTAGATGGCGACAACAGGCAATGCAGAACTGAAAATAGCCATGAATGTCTACGATGAAGGGGTCTACATGAAGTCCAGGGCTCCGGCAGGTTAACAAGAGTTAAGAAAACGCCGCGCTCATCCCGCGCGCAGCGGAGCGGCAAATTACCACCCCCTTGGCCGCCTCCCCCCGGGCGCAGGCTGACTGCACCCCCTCCCTGAAGGTCCTCATAACTATCCGCAGTGTAAACGTGGCAGCATCGAATATGATTCAATGGTATAAATAGTTTATGTAAAGCACACATAGCTATGCGATTTCTGGAAGAAGCATCCGGAAATTGCGTCAGCTTAGTGAAATGTCCCGCCAAAATCAGTGTGCACACTCCTACTGGTGTTCGCAAATCCCTTGCTGACACCGCCGCAAATAGGCGGGATCTACCGTCAGTACGACCCCTGTAGTCATCCGTACTGCTCCAATTTAAAATTTGCTGGATTGTTAGAACCGCTTTAGAATCCCTTCAGTTCATTAGCATCTCATTTCATTAGAGAGGAAAATAATAACATTCAAGCATAGCGCTCTTGTAGATCGGCTTGATCTTTAGTGTGAGCACTCTTTTGTTGTTGATGGCATAACCCTTTTGCTGAAACGTTGCTATTCGAGCAAAATAGCTCTGTCAGTTCAGCGTGTTCACGCGCCACGTTTCGCTGCTCAGGCTTATTCTTGTTCTTACTTCAGATCTGCTATTTGGCGGCATTGTGTCCAATTGCTTAGTGTTAACATAGGCTTTTTGGCGAAATTTCATCTTTCAGGAGCCGAGTGGTCTTTCGGAGCCACCATGAGTGATAACAAAAAAATAACAAGGATGAACTTGTGCAGAGGGCGAAGCTCGCTGAACAGGTTTGCGTTCGTAACTGCGTTTACTAATGTTTCTTAATGATCTTTATGAAATTCTAGGCGGAGAGGTATGACGATATGGCACAGTCTATGAAGAAGGTTACCGAGTGGGGGCAGAACTTTCAAAATGACGGCAACGCCAATCTTCTTTCTGTCGCCTACAAGAATGTCGTTGGTGCACGCCGTTCGAGCTGGCGTGTTATCTCATCTATTGAGCAGAAGACGGAAGGTTCTGAGAAGAAGCAGCAGATGGCCAAAGAATATCGCGAGAAAGTCGAGAAGGAACTTCGAGACATCTGCCAGGACGTATTGGTGGGACATTTTTTTTACATCAACCTTTGGCATTCTAACAGTACTATGTTGCAGAATTTGCTGGACAAATTTCTTATCCCAAAGGCCGGTAATCCTGAGTCGAAAGTGTTTTACCTCAAGATGAAGGGTGACTACTACAGGTACCTCGCTGAGGTTGCATCCGGAGAAGACCGTAGCTGTAAGTTTCGAGGCAATTTTTGTGTCGTGCTCTAACATGTGACAGCCTGACTTGACGTAGGAAAGCGGTGGGCCTTGGCGGATGGCTGCGAACGGGAATAGCAAAGAAAAAAAAATTCCTCGGCGCCATTCTTTCGCACAGCTGCGACTGCGTGCTATGTATTGCGTACACTGCGGAGCTACAGCAACCTCACGCTTAGTTCCATTCTCGTTGAGGACACAGCATCTTAATGGATTTTGGTGATTATGATTAAAGAGCGACATCTATTATGAGTATTTTGTGGTGCTAACGTATTTGGGGGGGGGCACGCGGCTCGCGGCGAGTGATGACTCATCGACTCTTCTGCTTCCTCCTCGGCAAAATAGAAGTAATTTAAGACATGGATATAACACCGTCCTAGCTATATTTGAAAGCTTAAGCAGTTACGCTGAAAAGTGCGAAGAAACAGTTGTAGGATGGAAGATTTTGCCTAAACTACCAACGATTGTTGCCTTTTTGATGTTGACCGTTATTCTTGACTACAAAAGATCAAACATTTGTTGTTCTCAGCTTCTGTGGGATTTCTCAGCAAGAATTCGGTGGATCTTGTTTGTTTTATTCTTTCCTCATCTAGTATTCGGTGAATCTTGTTTGTTTTATTCTAATTTTGCCGCTGGATTAGGCATTGTTCACACTCTGCGGTCCAGCGTTTCTCTGAAACGCGGCGGTTCGGCGAAAAGCTTTCGATACATATCGACTGGCGGTTGGGCGAAAGGGTTTTGGTACGTATCGACGGGCGTTTCGCCAAACCGCGACGTTTTTCGCCTTCGACAAAACGCTAGCTCCATCGCGGTGGCGTTTTTCGCCAGCGAAATCGATACACATCTGCTTTTCGCCCAACCGCGGCGGTTGGGCGATTCTCCGATCGATGACTATTTATTGCTTTTCTCCCAACCGCCGTTTCGTCAGGGCCTGGAGACTGTGAATGCCTTAGCGCTCTAAGTATGTCAGTGAGTGAAGAGCCAATGAAACATCACTCGCCCCTCCCCCAAATACGTTAGCACCTATTTTCTAGTCCTAGACTCTTCCTCTGCACCAGGCTCATGGGCGTTTTCTGGTAATGAAACGGTATCATTAACCGAAAGATACCTCTATCGCGTAATTTACATACGCATAAAGGGATCAAACGCATTACGAAGTAAAAAAAGGCACTATTGAACTATTCCTACCCCTCAAAAAAATTTTTTTCGCTGAAACGTTGCCTATAGGTGTAATTCGATGCCCTGATCACGAATATCACATTCGTTTCGAGCGCTGGCGTCATTTGGCGCCATTATGCGCCAATTTGGCGCCCACCACTTTTTTCACCAAAGTTGATGAAAACTTGCATATGGGGGTTAATTGAGGTCCTGATTACGAATACCACTGGTTTCAAGCGCTGGCGCCATTTGGCGCCGCCATCAAAAATAAGTGCTGGATTTTTTTGGGTGGGAATAGTTCATTAGTGCCAAAAAAATTAAAAGCAAGTACAACACTACTAGACTAATTCTTCCAAACATAACAGTTGTCCCTCTACAGAGGTCCCTCTTGAAAAAGTCACATAAAATGTAGTAAAGCATAGTGATGAGTGAGCTACATGAATATACATTCGGTACTCCCAACCAAGGATTGCTCCCACGGTTTCTCCACGTTCCATATTGTTTGGGGAGCGTGGCAAGTCCGGTTTATCCAGCCGCACGCTTTCGCCTCTCGCCGAAATCATAAAGTCAGGCACTCGTCAAATCGCTGGTCTAGGAAGTGAGTTGAGCAAAACGGTATAAAAAACCACAGTGACTTTACAGGACATGTTTACCGTTTCCGTGTTAATACCCGTTCTTTCGGCAGACTTGCAGGGCTTACTATTGTTTGCGCCCCTGGCGTTGTTTTATGAAAGCTCTCTTATTCCAGTCCGCTCCACAAAACTAAGCAGCTGCAATCAATCATGGGCAATGGCGCAATCGCAGTATGTTTAAGTGGGTGCGGGCATTTAGATTCCCGGATGGGCGTGGCCACAAGGGGCATTTCCTCGACATGGGCGGGTGTTTCCCAACTTTATCCCGTCATAGATGTTAGGCGGGATCGCCGCTTCCTGCTTACACATTCCCATTCAGAGCACAATTGTTGAAGGTTTCATCGCACGGTCGTACGTAAGACCTTATAGCCATTCATTTGACCCTGCCTAATGCCTACCATAGTAAAAATCATAAGTTCCCAATAACTGATTACTTCGTTTTGGAAATCGTAAGTTCAGGTTTTGGAAATCGTAAGTTCAGGTAGAGGCACTTTCCATAGTTCTTGAACAGGAGACGAACAAATCACCTCCAAACTCAGGTAGAAGTGCTGAAGTTCAAGCAGACTCGTTCATGTCGAGGCCTCGCCCATCCTGTGGCCACGCCCATCTGCGTATCTAAAGTCCGCCATTCGCAGTATGTACAAGTACTCCATCACACAAACGCTATCTTTTCACATATATTAACAGAATAACACATAGAGTCCGCTATCCTGGCCCTTCGTGCTTTGAATTGTGAGGAATAGTGACGAAGAGGAAGGTGTCTGTATCCCACTTCGCTCAAATATAGACGCATCTCCACGCGATGGCACGCAGTCGCAACTGTGCGAAGGAAAAGCGCCCAGATTCTGACTAGTAAGGATGTCACTGTTGAGCGCTGTCCCTGGTTGATTTGGTCGTTATTCTTGTGATTGCAGCGGTTGTCGACAAGTCGCAGCACTCATACCAGGAAGCATTTGACATCGCCAAGGACAAGATGCAGCCCACTCACCCCATCCGCCTTGGCCTCGCCTTGAATTTCTCAGTGTTCTACTACGAGATTTTGAATGCCCCTGATAAGGCCTGTCAGTTGGCTAAACAGGTGATTTTTTGAATTCTAGCGGTGGCGAGTATCGGTCAGAGCAGCTATGCTGAAGCACTCGAAATCGCTAAAGAGAGTTTGACGACCACTCATCCAGTCCGTCTCGGTCTTGCTTTGAACTACTCTGTATTTTTCTATGAAGTTGCGTCAAGTCCTGATAGAGCTTGCCAACTAGCAAAGCAGGTGTATTGCCTTCGTAAGAGCTTGTTTATGGCAAAGTATTCTGCATGTTTAGGCATTTGATGATGCCATCGCTGAGCTCGATACCTTGAATGAGGATTCATACAAGGACTCAACGCTCATAATGCAGCTGCTGAGGGATAACCTCACATTGTGGACCTCTGATGCTGCCGCAGATGATCAAGATGCAGGAGAGCAAGGCGAGGGAGCGAATTGAACGCATGTGATCTGATTTATTTTTATCATTTATTCGTTTTAAATGTATAGAAGTAAATCTCTTAGTTCTCCATCTACATCGTGTAGTTCTGTGGTCACATTCATGTTTGTTCATGATTAATAAGCTTGAATTTTTATGTGTGGGTCCGGCATATGTTGGAGCATTCGAACTGCGTACTCGGCTGTTTTGATTTGTGCCCCCAGTCTCATACGATTTCTCGATATACGGATGTGTTTGGAGTTTGAGTTTTTGCGTTTTCTAGATTGGTTTTTTTGTGAAAACTTTACGAATACAAACTATTCAAAAATGTGTTGACTACGCATTGATTTCACACACTGACAACTTGTGAATGCGACGAAGTATGAATTACACAGGGTGGTATAAAGAAGAGAACGGACCCTTGAGGCAAAACTTAAACCCTTGCTCTAGTATCAACGTCGAAAAGGAAACAGCTCATAATTATTGATCTTTTCGTTTTCAGATTTCATCGGGCTGGTACAGTTAATGATTTTCTACGTTCAGTTCAGCAGAATTTTTCGAATCCTTCAGCTTGTTTTTTTAAACGTGTTTTTTTTTTCTCAATTCGTGAGTAGTTGTGATAAATCGATCGACTGCGGATTTCGCCCAGTCATTCTCTAGATGGTTCCGAGCTTCGGCTAACAAGAAAGCGACGAAGGGAAAATAACGAATCACAACGCTGGAAGAGGTTGGTGCGCGAGCGGACCATTTAAAAAGAGTGACCATTTTTAGTTTAAAACTACTTTTGACTCCTACCCTTATGTTGTATGCAAAATACACATGTACGTTAATTTATTACTGAATTGGACGGGACATAGAAGTAGATTAGAAATTGAGCACATTTACATTTACGACATTTTCAACAAATGTTACAATGGTAGAGCATCTTGTTTACTTGTCCGTCCTTGTTCGTGTGTACCTGTACATATCAGAGAGAACTGAAAACTCATAATTATTTTAATGCGTCTAGCAATATAGATTATGCAGAGTAAAATAAGCCTAGTGATTGGTAGGCAGCAACAATTGACTTTAGTCCTAGAAGCACTACATTTCTGAGTATCATATGGGTGTTGGGTCTAGGTAGTGCAGCATAGAGGTCGAAGCCTTCCAACGTCCCACTCTTCTCACGTACCCACAGCTAACTCCTCAGAGCGGCTGTTGCTGCACCTTCTCGGAAGGAGTGCGATGTAAAACCCTTATGAAGCAACCCCGCTCCTTGGAGGACATTGTCTATACGTTTCTCGGAGAGAATCGGTGGACGGCTGATGGGCAAACTTTTTGAAAAATGAATTGGGGATTTTTCAGCTATCAGCGCGACGAACTTGTTCCAAAGAACTGCGCGTCTCCTTGCACTTTGAAAGCCACTTCCGTACCTCTTTTGCTCTGGTCTGTTTTGGATTTTGGAATGAGCAGCCACCAAATATCGTCCCTTTTGCCTGCAGGTGCTCCTTACGAACCGCCGCCGTTTCGCTTATCCGCAGGAAGGCTAAGTACGAAAGCAAAATAATGCAACAGTCTTCTGTTGCTTTGGCTGTATTCATGTTCAGGGCCCATTCGACCATCTTATCAACGTCCTTTTCGGAGGCCTTCACCTTGTGCATCTCAGCGGGGGACTCCTTGGCAGAATCCATCAGAAGCTTCTGCAATTCCGCTTCTCCGTCTTCCAAGTGACCATAGAAGAAATTCAAAAAGCGACCGGTTTGGAGAGAATTTTGAGTTGTTCTGGTTGATAATATAGGCCAAGAAAAAGTTCCGAAGTTTCTTTAAGTGCGTCTTATCAATGGCGAGTGTGGTAGTGAACTCGTCGAAACGTCTCCTCATAGAGGAGTAGGCTGCAATTGTTCCTGGCGCTAGAGATTTGTTTGCCGAAGTGCCTATTATTTGGGCCAACTCCTCCCCTGCGTTTCTGGCAGATTGAATCGTCTCCGACCAGGCTTTCCACTTTGGGCGGGCGGGAGGGCACCTACCA